TCCCTTCAGGCTAATTTACTTTAGAAAAAGTGACTAACAAAGGAAAATGTGTGAGAAAAACACTGAAATTAGTTTTTCAAATGTGGAGGTTTTAGAATGTGTTGTGGGCTTCATGGACAACTTAGCATACTACAGTACAATTTGTAAAAATAAAAACATTTTACAAATTAGTTTTCATTACTAAAATTATTAAAAGATATCATGTTTGTCCACTCAGGGGCTGATGAAACATATTATATATAGTGTGAGCGGTGTCACAGACCAAAGTTTAAAGGATTGCCAAAGGCAGGATCTCTCCTCCGGGGACCTTGAATCTGTGCCCAGAATTGTGTTGGACAATCTGACACTGATATCCTGGATCCCTACAAGGCTGATATGAAACATTCTGTGATGTATAAAGCCATCAGAATGAAGTATGTTCACCTTTGTTACAGCTCTCTTTTGGCTGAGCTTTGTTTCTTTTGTTTTTCCCCCCTCCCATTTCTACAGATTTCAGCTGTTACCCCCCAGCCTTAGGTGAAATTACCCCGCTTTGGTACAAGGCACAGTCAGTCCTTTGAATGCAACCTGCAAATGCCTGTGGCCCTGTAAATGTGCTCCGAGAGGGAAAAAGAGAAAGTTAAGCTGTCCTATTGAATTGATTGAACATTCATGAAACTAAAGTGTGCCCTTCCTCCCGCCTCCTCACATGTGGAAATGACTTCCAGACATCTCCAGCGTCCCGTATGGAACACAGCCGTGAGGATCCCTACCTTACAGTCAGGTGCTGAGCTGTTGCCCTGCAGGCACAATTCAATTGTTAAATCTCATATGAGCAGAGCATGGGGGGCTTTCTTCTTACTACTGAGAATCTCACACATGCATGTTTTTGACTCGGAACGATTGCACAACTATTTTACACGGCGCCGTGTGTTGTCATCTGCTGCGTCGCACAAATAGGGGTCAAATATGAAACAGACTTTATATTCAAATATAGAGTTTCTAGTAAAGGTAATAGTCACTCAGGAGATAAAAAAAAATCAGAAAAGATTTACTTTTTTTTTTTTCAGTCTCATCAAGATTGTGTTATTTGGAAATTGTAAAGAAATGTTACAGGCATATTGGTTTTATTGACATTTTCTATCTCCATCAAAATGCCTCAATACTTTAGTCCAAAAAATAAAAAGAATGAATTTTAAATTGTTCTCGCTTCATGTCGTTGTCTGTATATTATCAGCCTCAAAGAGGGCAATATTGAAAGCAATTTTCTTTGTATTTGGAGGGGCAGACAGACAATTTCTGGAAGAAGAACTAATCAAAACGTATGAGATGTAATCAATAAAAGAGTGAGGACTGAAGTGAGTAGAAGTTAAATGATAAATCAGACCAATTCTTCAGTTAACTATTTTGTGTGGATTCTGCATATTCCTGCACACACAGCAGGTGTTATTAAATGCACATGGTCCGGTGCCATCATCATCATCATCATCATCATCATCATCACTCATTATATCACTGAAGCCCAGTGCACGCAGTCCAGCAGCGGACTGTGTCATGTCCCTCCATTAGACCGCGCGACACATTCCACCCAAGGTTACAGACACAACCACTAAACAGCCACAGCACAGACAGCTGTGAGACCTAATCATTATTTGGCAGCAGTAGCAAAAACCATGTCAGGGTGAAGGCCCCATCATCCCGCTTCCTAGTCACATTTTAATCATCTGCAATTAGTTTTGTTTTAATAACGCTCACAATTAAAGTCTCTCCTGTTTGCATAATTCATGACGCAGCAGCGCTGATGTCAGAAATCAAATGCAACAAATTAGAAATAACAAGTTTGAGACAGTGTGATTCAATTAAGATCCGGGGAAACATTGGGCCATGCATAATTGAGGGGCCAGCGAGGCAAGACTCATGTCAGGCCTGTCAGCCCTGCTGCCACGATTGGATTTGGCCTGTCACACACACTCAAATCAGCCCTGTAAAAATTACAGGTTACATTGATTTCTTGTTTTTATTTGCCAGTACTTGTGAGTGTGTATGCATACATGGGCTAATGTGTGTGTGTGTGTGTGTGTGTGTGTGTGCGCGCAGGTGTATTCCCTGCACACAATAAACATGCCTACACAGCTGCATATACAGTATGGATACATGTGTTTTTGCGTGTGTGTGTGTGTGTGTGTGGGGGGGGGGGGGGGGGGGGGGGGGGGGGGGGCGGGATATAAATCAGGTGTGGGACTGAGCCACATCTGGAGCTCCAGCTCTGCACTCTGGGCCCTTCAGATGTTGAAGTAGGGCTGAGGTGAACTGTGGGCAAAACACGAACCACATGATCATGTTCAATTGCAGCAACTTCCAAAAAAGTGAACTGCCGACCCATTTGTGTGACTACAAACTGGAGAGCGTGATCCTGGCCTCAGTGTGGCTGTGCTGGGGTGGACAAAGGGGTGAGGACAAATCAAGGCCGACCATCACACAACATCAGGATTAAAGTGTGGAGTTGTATAAATGGATGGTGGATGGTTCTTTTTCATTAAAAAATATGAATGAGAAAAGTAACAAAAATATTCCTTTGAATTTTGGAAAGGTTTTATTCCTTGACCTCTTGTCTGTAGAGCATACAGAAGATTACAAATATTACTATGAGGAATTTGTCAGGAAGAAGATTACAAATATTACTATGAGGAAATATTTAAGCATAAAAATAGGGTTTGTAAGTTAGACCAGTTAGTGTACCAGCCCTAACCCCGTTACAAAACACTTATCGGGTTTTAATTATTGCACAATTTTCGGGGTTGTTGAATGCAAGGAAATTGAATAACTTTGTCGTGACTTTGGAAACGCCACTAACGCTTATTTAATTACACGACTGTAACCACAGCTCATAAAGTGCTCCGAGTTAACACAATTTTCCTGAGCAAAAACCCACGTCAGCCCAGAGAGACCTGCCATGTTTGGAAATAACTGCCATTTTCAAGATAGTGTTTGGCAAAACCCAGACAGAAAATTGGGGTAAATTATGCTACAAAGTTGTATTTTATGTAAGCACTCGGTCGTTTACAGTTGCACTGATGTCATGCTTCATTTTCAGCTAAAAGTGCTGGCCCCCGAAAAGAGAGAAAAGCGCGAAGAAACAACATAAACACGTCTATCAAAACACTTCCTCCAGAAAATTCCTGAGAGTTTACATTTTGCTGAATGGCTGCAGCTGAAGGGAGGAAGCGTGTGTGAGTAAACTGGCACACACACAGCCACACGCTGCCTTCAAAGTCAGCCGTTTCTCACTAAACAATTGCTAATGACGGAGCACCGATAGCCGGCCCTGCAGCGTCATCTCCATCTCTGCTACGACTGACTAATTGCAGCCAGACACACTAACCTCTCCGTGGCCTGTGTCCTGGCTCTCACCCTGGCATTTCTCTCACTCTCTCTCCTTTTTTTTCCTTCAAATCCAACCTTTCACCAAAGGCCTCTCACCGTTTTATCAGTGGTTCCCTAATGTGACTGCCTCCTGTTGTCTCCCATCTACCCCCGCCCTTCACCTTATACCATTACAGCTTGGCTACAGCCTCATGTGGGAAACTTTTTCTGGCCAATTGCTCCGATCTGATTAGGGAAACTTGTGTAGCTGCCATTTATTGTTGCTGCTGTGACCTGGCAGGCAGCGGTGACGCTGAGCAGCTCCGTCTTCGCTGCCTTTTTCCCAGTCCGTGCGTATCCACCAGGATCCCCCCTCAGACTGCTGCGATTGTTTTCACCGTCAGGACTGAACCGCGACTCAAACGTCTGGCAGACGGACAGACAGACGGATGCCTGTATAATTGCATGCTTCAAAACAATGCCAGTGAATTAACAGTCTCAGAGAAACAAGGGGGTCAGGAATGAGGGGAGCAGCACAGGAAAAAAAAAAAAACAACAACCAACCAACCGTCCTTCAGGAGGCAATTTTACATTACATTAGTGTAGTTGGTTGGGGTTGAACTCCAGTGGGATTTGGCCTGAGGAGTTGAGCAGAGAGGGGAATTAGAGCGTTTAGCCATGTCCAGACACGGGAGAGAAATGAGCCTAGTGGCCTTTGTGTTATCTAATCTTGTTTGCATTTCCTTTCAGCATCATGAAAGAGAAATGTAATGGGGGCTTGATTGTGTTTGTTTGGGGGGGACTCTCATTTAGGGCTGTGTGCCCCACTAAATTATCCTCTCCTGGTTGTGTTTTTGTGCCGAAACTATGCAAACGCTGCCGTGGTTAGTTTGTGGAGTGAAACAAAGTGTTCCAAAATAACAGAGCAGAAGCCGATGAATCATGCAACATCGACACTGTTCTGTGGCAAACCACATTTGAGTCAATGTACACTGAATGTTTATTATCATCAAAGGCAAAAAAGACCACCTATTTCCAATTACTCCTTTGTACCTGTGACTGCGGTGTTTACACTGGGTCACATGTCCTCGTCTTCAAACAACACATTTGAATTAATTTAGAAATAAGTACATTAAAAGTTACTCTGATTTTTTTCCCCACTTTTTTCTGATCACCGGGGATGACAAATGGTGACAAATCTGGACCACAGGTTGGCCAGTAAACTGCACACACTCAAAACACCTTGCGGGCCGGACACAAATAAAAATCAATAAAAATCACATTTTTGTCTAACATTATCATTGGAAGTGTATTGTTAATTTATATGTTTATATATATTTTTACAGTATACTGTACTGAGAAATTATTTTGTAATTAAAAAACACCTCCAGTCTTTAACCTGATTCTTTAACCTTTTTACCACCTTTTTAAATCCCTCTAAAAATACTTTCTTCATCCTTTTACCTTAAATGGAAGCTTAAGTGTTTTTTGTTTTTTTTTTAATCTTTATTTTTCATATCATCTCATCTTCCAACTTCTTTGAAACTTAGGTTAGTGGCTTGTGGAGTACAAAGCTCAGAAATGAGGCTGGTTTTATGCAACATCACTGCGTCTTTCTGACATGTGAGAGGCTCGGTTCACATTTCTGAGTGATTGACTAGTGGTAGGAAAGTTCAGGCCTGATGACAAAAGAGACGGTAAATGCACATGGAGTGGATTTGACAGGGGGTGCCAATGCCCCCAAAGACATCCCTCCCAGAACTCTGGGAGGTGGAGCTGGAGCAGGCAGGCAGCTGAAGGTCACAGCTCACTGTCACAGCACTGTCAAAACACATTACCCATCATGCCGCCCTAAAAAAGCTGCTCGCCTTCCACACATGATGGACAGATGACAATCATCGCTGCTCTATTGTTCCACTCCACCGCTCGTCTCCGTTCCATGTGTGTTTTCTGGAATTTTGTTCTACAAAAAGGTGTCACACCATATTGTTTGCACAAACTCTGCCGGTATAACAGGTATAACATCTCTGCTATCAAAACCTCCACAAACACAATCATGATTAATGATGGTACTTTCCAATTTCCACCATAGCCAATTTTCATTTTGGGGGCCTGGAAGTTTCTCCGTGGTGATGATTTATAGCCAGGGGTCGGTCAGTGGAGCTGTTTGTTCGAACGGCCAATGGGCTCTTTGTATTTTTGATGAGGGCAGAGGATGGAAAGGTGATTTAGGAAGACAGCAGGTCTGCTTCTTCTCAGCGCCAACCTCTGCTCTACAGGCCATTAACAGAGGTGGCAAGAAAAAGCAGCGGCAACAGCTTTGATTCTGATTTACACCCGTAGCTGAAATACCCAAACAAATTAGAGGTACACAATAATACACAGGGAGAAATAAATCACGTTAATGATGAGGCTTTGAACGACACTCAGACATGAAAGGGGAGCGGCGGCGGCGGTGGTGGTGGCGGCAGGGGCATCTGGAGGAGCGGATGGCAGATTATGAGATGGTATTAGGAGCTGTCTTCACAGGAAGGCTCAGAACAGGCAGGCAGCAGCAGCGACACGATGAAGAGGAAGAGGAGGCAAACGAAGAAGGAGGCCTTTGTTCTTGTCTCAGCTCAGTAACTAACATATTGTTATTCAAGTCAACAGCCACTACAAGCTCGTTAGTGAGGCCACGCAGATTCCAGCTCATTAGTCGACAAAAAGGCTTCAATTTATTGATGACAAATGAAGGAAATGCAGATGATGAGTCTTATTTTCACCACCACGCAGATAACAGGGAGTGTTACAGACACTGTTTGGGCTGTGAGCCATATTTTTATTTCTTTTTATTAGGAATTAAAATGGCGTTGGCCTTTGATCCATGAATAATTGAAGTAAAAAATGTATAATGATCCCTGAGACGCAGTAAAGCTGGCGTTCTAATGCTGAGGCCACTTGAATCAATTTTTTCTCAGCAGGACAAACTGAATACAAGAGCAGAGGACATTGTGAAAAATTACTTTGAATACATTATTTTTCTTCTTTTAATTTTTTCCCCTTTCATAATTGCTATAGTCACAACATGGAGAGGCGGTCTTTCTGCACTGAGCCTTTGACCCTAAATCCTCTGTACGTATAAGTGTGAACATGAATGTTTCTTGCTCATGGTGTTCATGTTAGAAGGCCTAACAGAAGGACAGTGACTCGGCCGCTTGTTTTTAAAAGAGCAAGTGTTTGAAAAAATAAGGGTCTTACTGTCATGATGACCGCTTCTGATAAGATTTGATTTTGATTGATTGACCTGTATATCAAACAAGAACAAACAACTTCATCCAGCTTTTTATCCTTTATATTTTCCAACTCCATTGGTTCTCAAAGTGAGGGGCGGGCCTATCTAGGCAGCATGGACAGCGTTTTGTGCCACAGTGGGGAAATTGCACTTATTTATAAGTTTGTTTATTTTTATTTTTTGTTAAATTAACATTTTTAAGTTTTATAGGAACTACTGTACTCTTTTTTAAGTACAGGGGAGTTTAAAGTAAAAGCCTTTAATGTGTCCACGTGGGGGAGGGGCTGGACAATCAATAGACTAGTGTTTATAATGGGGCACTGGGGGAAATGTTGGGGAAGAGATTCCTTTACACTAGTACATCAGAGAGCATCGCAGAATCACATCTCACTCAAAATGACGTTGTTGTTGTTGATGAACTGAAACTACTTATTTGTTTTTTACAATTGTTTTGACTCTGTGAAAACCCTGTGGTAAATTTGTGCATTTGAGCTGTTTACACACGTCTGGTCTGACCTGCTGCTGCTGCTGCTGCTGCTGCTGCTTACAGTAGATGAAGTGGCGACCTTGCAGCACCGTGGTCCCTCTGAGGATTGCAGATGACATCACCGATGGATGATCCTCTGATGTAATCATCTCCATCCCACGGCCTGCTTCTGCAGATGGGCTGTATTTCCCATTCAGACCTCTGAGATGGAGAGCTCCCTAATACAGACATGCAGAAGTCATTAGACCTCTCATGTAGACACTCCTGCTGCAGATCCACACTGATCACATAATTTCATCTGATTTAAGAGGGAAATGACCACAGACATACTCACCACTGACAGTTGATCCAGAACGTAGAGCCTCAGATTATCTTCATTTCCATTATTTAGACTTGAGTCTATGAAAAAAAATTAAAACATGTTTTACCATCACTATAAAAACACGCTGAAATAAGACTTAATTAATCCATTTAAAAATACATGCACGGAAAGAAAGCTAAACATGTATAGTAAAAACAATGAAAAAATAAAGATATTAATGCATTTATTTTTAGGAAATAATTTACTCCTTTCAAAGACACCAGAATATTTTAGTCAAAAACAGTAAGGCAAATAAAATAAATAACGTTGAATACAGGAAACGGGAAAGTGTGTAACTCTGTACTCAATAGAGTAATGACCTCAAAATGAGGAAGTAAAACACTCTGAGTCACTAGAAAATGTTTTCATGCTTTCTTTTTTAAAACACTAAACACTGTTCATTTACATTGTTTAAATTCAATCGTTTTGTCTTTGATTTTATACAATAAAAACTGTAATACCACGAGCAAATAGACTGAAGATACCACAACCCCTGAGTGACAACTACTGAGAAAATACTCAGCATCGAAAGTTGAGGAAGAAAATCCAACCTGGGATTGTCTGGTTACTTATAGACTGCTAGTATATGTGCACAGTTAACACTTTTTCCTGTGTCAAGCCTGTGTGTGTCATCCTGTTCAAGCATCCAGTTCACCACAGCCTTGTTCTGAGGGGCTGCCCTCCCTGGGGAGCAGGGGGAACAGAATCCCAGGCTTATACAGACATCCACACAAAGGACAGGCCTGCGCTGGCAGGTGGTCCCAACATAGATAAGTGTGTTTTCTGTTTAGCNGGGGTGAGAATGAAGGAGAGACTGCTCACTTACAGAGCCTGCTGCTCCTCTGAAGGATGATGCCTCCTCTGGGCGTAACACACCAGTCAGACGGTGCACTGCAGACACACACGCTGATGTGTTTATGTCTGTGTTAATGCATAAGTAACACCGGCGCTCTGCCACACACACACACACACACACACACACAAATACAGACAGTGAAATATTGGTCAAAGTTACAGATAAAGCTTCAAATCTCACTTCATAACTGCAGAATAACTGACCTTCACTCAGTGTGATCTCCTGCTGCTGCACCTGTCAAGCTGTCAAATCTAACACTGCACTCAGGGCAGTTTGTAGAGTTAACAGTGGTGATTTTTTTTTTTAAACAGTGGCTCCATCCTAGAAAACAACAACACATGGAAGTTGACAAAAACTGTTCCAGGCCAACTTTTTTTTGCTGATGTATTAAAGTTCCGTCCGACACAAAACAACAAATAATGTAAAAACTGTGAGAACACGTCCACTCTGTAGTACCTGTACTGTCGAGTAGATCTGTCTTCACGTACAAAGGTTCCAGTTGGATCCATTAGCCAACGTTCAAATGTGTCCACGGACGAGACAGCTCATTGGTCGAACAAATAGATACAGTTTAACATATCATCAGCGTAGAGTGTGAAGCTTTTTGATTGGTCGTCAAGACAACAGCATAGAGTAGTCATTTGTGTTTGTGTTGTGGTTTTACTAGCATTCATTGTATTTACTTAAAAACTCAACTGAATTTTTTTAAATGCTCACTCACTTCCCATTGAACAAAGATAATTTTTTGCAAATCAGCAAATTTCCCCCAAAATTTTAAGGAAAAAATGAAAGATATGGTAGAATAAAAACTCATTTGTCTGCCTCGTGAGGGTGGAGTAAACTGTGGACAGTTCTCTGGGTCATCTCAGGGTCAAAATTAGAGCCAAACACACCCTCACACTTGCTCTCACATCTGTAGTCAGTTGAATGAACAATTAACCTAATGCTGCTGTTTGTTGGACGGTGGAGTACGGCTGGAACACCCAGAGACAGCCCACGCACACACAGTTAGAGAACATTCCATCTCTGTACAAAAAGGCCAGGGATCTAACCAGTGACCTGGTGACCTTCCAGCTGTGAGGCTAGTGCACTTACTGTTGTCTCCAGTGTAGAAGACGTGGTGGCAGAAACACTGTTAGTACAATAGTTTTAGAGAGAAGATGCAAATGACGATTCAAATTGGTCGGTGATTCAGTCCTGCATGACGTTTAGGCCTCACATAGTTTCAAATAAAAAGAGGAGAAAATATGTCACGAGTTCAAGTCAAATCTTAATGATTTGTACAGAATCAGTAGATTTCTTTTCATATTTGGTGCAAACCTGCAGGTTGACTTTGCTGGATAGGACAAAGACTTTTCTAAATAACACAACAAGAAAGAGAGAAAAAGACATAATGCAAATAAATTAAAATATCCTTTTTTTCTGTCCTGGATAACCCTGGAAACATCATTTTTTGGAGCTAAGTTATCTGAAAGTCTAAAGAGTGTGCTTTTAAAACCAGAAAACTAATTCCCACCTCATAACTTTGTTGACAGATGGATGCTTCGGTCCAACCTTGTCACTGTACAACCTTCAGTCCACTCTCCAATCCGTCCACCCGTCGGACTACTTAAACACACTCATCTCTCACTCCAGCAGGCTGACAGCAGAATTTGCTTTCTGCTCAGAGGTGAGTTCCAAAATACACAAATAACACCGAGGTGCATTTATGGTATTTGTATAATCCATGAAGTGAAAATTGGCCGCTATTTAGATGAAAGGCAATTAGACAATTACAGCTAATGAGAGCAATCCTTTTCTTTCACCCCCCCGAAGAGTCTGCAGACTAATTATCAAATTAAATAATGCTTCTTTTCTTTCTCTCTCTCTCTCTCTGACCCTGTGCTGTCTGAAAGAGAAGGGCTCTTTGGGAAAGGCAACCGTGGGTCTGCTGTGGAGGTGGAGGCTGCAGAACAGACAGGCAGCGTTTATAAAGTGATGGCAGTATTAATCACTGCTGAAATTAAGACAGCTTCATGGTCTGCAGGGCAGGAGCACACACACAGAGTCTGCTGCTCCGTTCGACTGTATCAACAGGGGCCCCCGGCCAGACAGGAAACACGGTTCCACCCGCAGGAAGTGGAACATCTCAGACAAGCAGAAGACCATGCTGGTCAGGTCAAGGGTCTCAGAGTATCCACCTGACACACACTGGTACAGGATTTCAGGGATTTAAACAAAAAAAAAGACATTTAATACCAACTTTTCTATTATTTTTTTGCCTTTAATAATCCTAAAATCTGCAAGTTAGCAAAAAAAAACTTGATTCACATTAAGAACAATACCTTGAATCATTTCTGAACTACAATTTTTCACTCACTGTTTTGCTGGATATGAAACATTATTCATCAAATCATTATTCATCAGGTCATCTGCCACTGTAGTGCAAATAATTCATTTAGATTTAGCCCGTTCTGTTGCAGCCCCCATAGGAGGGGCTCGCCCCCCACTTTAAGAACCACATTAAACAAACATTCTGAATAGCTAATTAAAATGAGCTGTTTGTCCAAAAGATACAGGAGGTCAATGCTAGCATAAAAAACAATTTAAAAGGTTTCCTTTTTAAGCTTCTTTAAAGCTGAAATTAAAAGTAGTTAAAAAAGGAAGTCCATAAAATATTTCTTAGAGGTAAGAAGTTGGTTCCACATAAAACCTGTTCTAGTTCCATGATCAGGGCCCAGACTGGACTCTATATATTCCCTACAAAAGTACATTTGAGGTAAAGATCTTAACTACTTTTTATGCAGCACTCACTTTCTCTTCTGTTTACAACATAAATTGCCAAGACAAGACTCAAAAAAACAAAACAAAACAAAAAAAACCTCCATGTTTATCCATGACGCCTCAGTTCTCTATTTCCTTCTGGCTAAACTACAGCTGCACCTACTGGCAAAAAGACGCACATTTTGAGAAAAGTACATTTCTTCACTCGGTACATTTTTAATATAATGAACATGGTATCAGTCTTTCAGCTGAGTTTCCTTCTGAGGACATGCCAATAAAATTACCCCCATTGTGACCCAAGCAAAACACAACAGCTGTAACTTGATCCCTAAACCATCCTCTGCTCTCTTCATCCAATCTAAGCCCATGTTTTTCTCTGCCACTCATTTACCACCCCGAAACCATGTGATGGTCAAGGTTCAAAGGTTAAAGAGAGGTTCTTTTTCACACTCCCACGCCTGCCACAGCTTCACAGAGCAGCGGTACAGGTGCAGGGAGTCTCTGAAACAACCAAACGGCCTCCTGCCTCCGAGGAGAGACCTCTGAGAGAGAGAGAGAGTGAGAGAGAGAGAGACAGAGAGAGAGAGAAGGAAAAAAATCTCCTAATTGTTCCCTGCTCTGTGCCAATCACTGGCAAAAACAGCCCTTGTTATTGAGTCTTTGCGCAGTATTTTTGCAGTCATAACGGCTGTCAGAGGGGTTGGTACGAGTTCACAGCTCCTCTTCTGTGACAGTAACTCCTTCTGTCACCTCCTTTTATATGGCAGGGCTGTTGGTGTATGGTGAGAGACTCCAGCTGACACCACTGACACGGCTGGACTTAATGGGGACTGATGGGAGCTTGTCAGTGTGGTGACACATTAAGCGGCTTTGTCATAGATCATCCGTTGAGTTTTATGCAAAAGCAGGCCTTGCGTTTACTTGGAGATGACCTTCCCAAGTTCACTGGAAGTCTTGCAGATGCAGAGCCGGGTCAGATTTAATATTTTCGACTTTAGAATGCGAGGGGTTGTCGACTTTAACAGACAACGGCATGCACGTATGGATACTGAATTCAAGACACACACACACACACTTCCTCTATTTTACTCACACACTCCTCTAAATTTCAGCCTAAAAAGTTCAGCTTGACAATAAAGCAAATAATTTAAAGGTGCAGAAAAAAACCACAAAAAAACTTTAAATGCAAAGTGGGTTTGTTATGGTAAACAGGAAAGTGTTCTTCTCTGGACTAAAAATGCAGTAAAAGTTGGATCTATTCATATCTAGAATTATGACAGCAATACTTTTTCATGATAAAAACTTCAAATTAAACCTTAAAACAATTGGCTGGTTTTTATTTAGCTTTACTTCCCCTCTGAATTTACAAACTATTATTGATATTCAAGTGTTGACTGGTCGCTATTTACTTGTAGTCATGAAGTATTCATAGTGATTTGCACAGATTCATGAAATGCAGATGTTCCATTTCGAAACACAGGCCTCCTCAGTTTCACGGTTGTCCCCGAGCGTCATAACTCTTAGGAGTCACTTCATTTAAAGTGGAAACGAGGGGGCGGAAGCTCCATGCTGTAATGCTGTGTGATGGCAAGTATATTCCTGTCAAGGCTAACACAAAGTTATTTGCTCATTTGTCTGAATGGCTGGAATAATTTGTGTGAACGTTACTTTTACTTCTCTCCTGTGGGGCATGAATCACACACGGCTCTTTGTGTCCCTGCTAATATAACATGTTTCCTTTTGCTGATCCGGCTTGAAGTCACTAAAAAACTTGATTCATAGTCAAACAAATTTTGCTCATGTAATCATAGTGGACATATTGTGAGCTGTAAATTTTGAGTCACCAACACCAAAAGTCAGGTATGAAATTTAATGACAGCAGTGATGTCGCCTGAACCCAGTGATGGGTTTATATCAAAACACACAAAACTTTTACACAAGGAAACATAAAGCCTTTCTGAGACAAACTCTGCTCTACAGAAATATTTATACAGATAGTTTTTTCTATGCACCAGATGTGTGTGTTCACCATCTCTGTGTGGTGAGAACGCAATAATATAAACATGTTAGACACACACCCATTATGTCAAATGAGCAGAGCAACAGGACAGAATCCTGCAAAACCAAAAATCTGTGCCAAAAGGTTGCACTTTTATTATTTTCCACATGATTTATTTACTTTAACCTGTTGTAATTAGTATTATGAGACTATTGATGATTAATACTATCAATTAAATAAAATCCAAAGTCGGTAATTTCATAAATATGTAATTAATCAACCTGGTTGAACTTCATAAGACTTTTTTGGCAATGAAAAAAAATATTGAATTACAATCAAGTTCAGTCGGTCATCATCTGCATGTAGTTAATGATAACGTTAAAAGATTTAGAAAGTAAGTAACTTCATGTGAGTGTTTCAGCCAAGGGCAGACACTGCTGCTGAATGTGTGGGATCTCCAAACCCTGAGGTGGCTTTGCACAATGAAAAGGCAATTTTAGGTCAAATTAAAAAGGTTAAAAGTGTTTAAAAAAACATTGGACAAAAAGTGTTTCTTGAGAAGTTATATTTGTATTGTTGTCTTTCAGAGACAGCTTTTCTTAGCCAGCCTCTACAGGCCATCACCGGTACTACAACTAAAGGCATACTGCATATGCAGGCACGCCTTCAGCTTGATCCATTCCTGACTGTGTCCAAAACATCTGATCTATCCCTTCGACAATCCTTCATCACATTATAATGTATCACAGGGTGAGGTCAGTGGGTGAGGACATACTTTTTAACAACAGTTTACGTTAACAAAAATAGCTGGAGACTTCGGCTCAACACATATTGTTTACCTGTTCTTCCATCTTAGGGCAGAATAATTGTCTGTCAACATATTTCCCTTCACTTGCACTTTGCTTCCTGGCAAAGTTAAAAATATTCTGTCCTCACCTTTATGTCACACTGACTTATTGACTTAGACTGCGTTTGGTATTTAAGCAACTGAGGGCTCGGCGATTTTTTCCTTTACAAAAGTTGGCAAGTTTGAATCTATCATCCCCTTGCGTATGCGTGTCCACATACTGTGTGTCTCTGTGTGTGAGAGAGGAGGACATAAAAAGGAGAAAAGTATTCCAGTCTAGCAGCAGGAGTGGGAAAACAATTGTTCCTGACTGATTTTCCCCTAACCCCATAATGAAGCCCATGTGTACTGCTGGCCTTTCAACAAGCTGCAAATCTGTGCGCGGCCCACTCTCCACTTGATTAAAGCAACATCCACTCACCTGCTCCTCATTAGCCCAGGCTGGGAACAGACCTGGCCAAAGAAGTTAGCACCTGTATGTTCCAATTCTGCATGCCTTCTACATATATGTAATATTATTGCGTATTAAGCTGACGGACGTGTAAATAATGGCACGGCGGTGATGCCGCTGTCGTTTTTGATGCCGCCGCTGTGTGTGTTGTGCTTGAGATGGATGTGTACGCAAAAAGGGGTCCAGTGGTAGAGAAATAGCAGGAAAACATTGTGCGCTCTGGGTGTGTGGAGATAGATGAGGGACTGTGCTTGGAAACGCTCATTAGCCATAATCAGAGTCCCTAAAGGAGAGCAGATGGCGGCGGCGAGGGAGGAAAATAAGAATTTGCTGGGTGTACGTTGAAATCCATGCACGGATGCAAAAAAAACCCAGAATTTGGTCGTCAACAATGGAATCAGGAGCATCCAGGGAATACGTGTGTGTTGGTAAACAATGTTTATATCCAACATGGATGCATGCCACGTTAAATGTGCTCCGACATGTTGGTCATTACAGAACAACCCTAAAGGGCATGGTGTGGGATGAAATCATCAGAGCTCTGTTGTTTCTGTCTGGTTCCTGCTAACCAGTGACTCCCCTGACCTCTGTCTGCTCTGAATGGAAGCATATTAACACTCCAGGCTCTCAGCAACATTTAACCAATTTGGTAAATTATCTGTGAGGCCACTTTTATAGGACTTTCTTATTATTCAGAAGGAGGGGGAGTGGAAAAAAGGGAGGGAGAGAGAGATAGAGAGGCTTGATGAAGGGACGTGGGCACGGAGACCCTGTTCCCATTTCCATACATTAGCAGTGTCGGTCTTTTCCCAGAGTCACACAGAGGAAGCACCTGTTAGGCTCTCATGCTGTGCCCCCCCTCCCTCACCCTCCTTTCTACCTCTCTCGTGCTGCTTTCATCCCCCTTTCCTTCGTCACTGTAGCTTCTTAGCCCCCCCACCCCTGTAAAACGGCTCCACAAGCAGGTGTTCTCTGTCAAACAACCAATTCCTCTTACAGCCTCTGGAAATGGAGAAACTCAAAGAGAGAGAGAGAGAGAGAGAGAGAGAGAGAGAGAGAGAGAGAGAGATCAGACCAGAGGAGCAAACTTAGCAAATGCATGAAAAGAGGAAGCTTTGGTGTTGGGGTGAACGGGGTGGGGGGGCTTCTGTGGGGTAACACTGAACCCCACTGATCCAGGTGTTTGATGCCATCACTTCTTATTTACCACATGTGGACATACAGTTGTTGCTCGGGTGTCGGCAAAGGGGTTAAAGTTAATTTGATCGGGCATGTGTACTGTGGGCGAGGAGCAGGGGAACATCTGCATTCAGTGGCATGGCCCCATTTGTTGCAATTTTGGGTCTCATTTCCATTTGCAAGAGAGATAACTGCTCGCATATGGAAGCAATAGATAGAAGAGGTCAATGCAATTTCTTTCAGCAGGGGGACAAGGAGGGAGGAAAAGCCTCACACAGTAATCTCAGTTGGCACAGGAAGAAACAAAAAACCGAGCTGAGGGAAGGTGGGGGAAGGAATTCTTCTCAGTGATTCCTTGATTTCTTTACCAGCCAATAACAACCCCACACTTCACACACCGGCCCCTATCGTCACTGATTGGATCAGGGGACATGGTGTGGTAGAACCCGTCCTTGTTCCTGCTTTCTGAGAGAACTTCTATCACTCATCATGTAATGGAACTGTAGATAACATGACAGTGTAGGTTGCACTAAAACAACTGTGAAAGTTCAGAAAATTGCTATATACTTGCTAAATACTCAGATTTATTTTTCACGGGGAAGTGAGCAGTGTAAGAATACTCAGAATTATTTTTCACGGGGAAGTGAGCAGTGTGGACACATCGTACCTCGCCCCTCAGTTTCACGACAACATCTCACCATGTTTTTTTGCATTATAGAAAATGGAGATAATCATCCTCAAGGATGTACATCTGCAAGTTTGTAACCAAACACTGGAGCTCTGCCTTCCTGCAAAAACTTGGCTAACTAAAGGAAAACTCCGGGCACACACTCCAGACATCATTATGTTGCAGACGACAACTTCACAACATGTCGCAGAGTAATCAAAACAAGAGCCAATTTAATCTCCATATCCCATCTATGGATGATGCTAATCTGCTCCCCCGTACAGTCAGTCGAAAACCCAACACACTCAAAACATGCCACTTTCAAAAATCCCCTAATAAGGCAAGTTAAAGCCCAGCACTGCAACTGGTATCAAGTCACTTGAGAGCAATTATACTTTCACTTGATACTAAAGGACTAGAGGAGTTTCTTTTTTCTTCTTTTTTCCCCATACTGACTTTAGAGACTAATGTAATTGAGTAATTTTTGCTGTGTGTGTGTGTGATTAGATTTGGTGAAAAATCTTGAGGAGATTTCTGGAAATAGGAAGTGTTCATGTGTTCAGTTTTGTGCTGCTTCCTCCGATTAATTAAGTCCAGAACATTTAATAGGCTCCTCAGTCTGGTTGGAGTTTCATCCCTCAAAGACAAAAGTCTCCGTGATCTTTTTAGGCATTCTTTGAACTGAAATTGTTTTATTTCCCCTTTAGATCATTAAATAATTCCTGGGTGTAAACTCTGGGTTTGTGTTTGGCTGGACCAATCAGACTCAGACTCACACAAAGGATGGGAGAGGTTTCAGGGATTCCAGTTCATTTCTCCGTGTAACGCCGGGTGAGTCACTGAATTTAGAACTCAATTGTCTTTTTGTCCACATCTGCTCTCAATGTCCACAGTGTTCGCACACTACATGTGACTCTGTCGCCCGTCTCCTTAGCAGTGGCCCCTGACGTCCTCATTTCCTGTTGGGGGGGTCAGCTGAATTTGATAAAGGACCGAGCTCAGAGCCTCGTGGGACTTGGATTAGAGCCTGCCAGAGTCCAGAGAACTGGACACATCTTCATCCATCACAAATCCAAGTGCGTCAATGATCCAGTCGATCCCATTATAGCAGTGGGAAGTCGTGTCCCTGCAGCCAGAGCAGGTGCTTTTTATTTATACTCCAGGAACATAAATAGTGCAGTTAAGACACGGGTGTAAGTAAGGTCATGAATTCAGCTGAAAGAACTTTCTTTTTTCCTTTTTTTTTTATAACAGTGGAACAATGGCACTCGTCCACCGTGTTTCAGGGGTACGTCGGTCCGAGACGTCGGTGTAGGACTGTGCCCAAGAGCTGACAGAGAGCCGACTGTGTGTGCGCGCCGAGACGGAGCTCATTAAGAGGACCCTTGTGTGTTTAACAGATACCGAGGGCTCTCCTTCTTCCAATAACAACTCATTAATGACGGTTTGTGTGTGTAAGGGAATTAGAGTGGCTGTAGTCATGAATCATGAGGCACATCAGTCTGGTGTTATTGATCAGATTCTAAACACTGCACTGACAGAGATAAACAGGGCAGTAATGTGAGAAGCAGCCAGCACAACAGCTGTTTATGCATACGTCCACTTGTTCAGATGCGTTCATAAATGACTGTTGAACGGCCATTATGCCTGATTTCCCACTAGATTAACTGATCACTCTGAAAGGCTCCGGTGCACAATGTATTTGGTTTAATAATGCTGTGAGTCATGGCTCTTCAGGGTGAATTCTAAAGTCATTCGGTTAAAAGAAAATGTCTTCACGTATTTTCATTGTAAGCTATTTTGAAGAGTATGACCTTGGACTTCATCACGGCCTTAAACTGCTCATGGTTTTTGAAACTTCTCTCCCAGGTTTATTTTGTCTCTACTCACTATTAGAACAGGAACTGAACATTGAAAGTTGAACTCCCTTATTCATCCCACCAGGGGGCGATTCAGTGTCTTTGTAACTTTGTAAGTTTGTGAGCTTCTGCGTGTAAAACAGATGTGTCAAGGAGGCGTGATAACTGCTAAACTAAAAGTAAACCAACATTTGGCCCGGCTCGGAAACTTGACAGCTGCATGTCTTAGTATAGAAAGAAAGCTAAATATTTGTACAATAGAATGGATACTTTACAACAGAAAATCTGAATGGAGTGAAGTAGTAAGAATTGCTGACGTTTCACTCACAGAAAAGGAGTTGTCTCCTCTGCTCAGAGTTGCACCAGGTTGTTCTGCAGCTTGTTCCTCCTCCAGGACTGCAGCCCACCTGGCTAAGAGGTTCAGCCTGCACACTGCTGTTGGTCTCGTTACATTTGGAGGTGCAGGGAAGCAGACAGGACCTAAAGGCAGCACAGAGGAGTCAGAGATCAGGGGAAGAAGGTTATTAAACACAGTCAAACCTTAAATAAATCAGTAGGTCCACCAGAGCAGAGTCTGTACTCAGGAAACAAGGTGAAGCACGACAGGAAACAGACCCGGAACACAGGAGAACCCACAACAACAGGAAGACAGAGTCACACGAAGGGAGAGAGAGAGAGAGAGAGATAGAGAGAGAGAGAGAGAGAGATAGAGAGAGAGAGAGAGATAGAGAGAGAGAGACAGGTGTGTGTGATGACAGGTGTGTGTGATGAAACCACACACACCTGACAAGTCTGTAAACAATTACAATTTAAATTTTACTGAAAAACACATCACAATAAAGATGTTTCCCATTCTTACCCTCATCAAACAACAACGTCAGCTGCAGGATGAACACATTTACAGAACAATAAAAACAACAACCCAATTTGGTTGTTGTTTTTACAGTCGATTTAGTGTCATAAATCGACTGTGTATATGCTGTGGCTCTAATGGGGGGTCACATTTGTATTCCTGTCTGTGTGATTTGAATTTTAAAGTTCTTCCAACTCCTCCTGGCCCGTGCACCTTCCTGTGGGTTATTATTACCAATCAAAAGGTTTATAGTTTTTATGAAGTTCTTTACAGAGCGTTGGACGGGGGGGGGAAGCTGGTTTAATGGCTTGCTAAGTCAAGGCACGGCCCCACAAGGTTCCACAGAGTTCTCTGAGAAGGTCTGGAAATGGAAAACACATGTTCTTTTGATGGCATCAATTCCTTTTATTATTAGTTTGTTTTGAATTAGGCTGGTGATTGCAGGATCCTGGGAGATTTCTTTTTTTTTTACTGTCCATTAAAATTCTCATTTGACGCAATAAACTGCATTTTGATTAGTCTGCGCACAACTCAAAAGACAGCATTGTTATTAACAGCGAGAGTGAAGTAACATGATATTGACCTTTATGGAGGAAATATCCGTGTCCCTGTGTTTTTACGTGCAGATCTGGGCAGAGTGATCAGTCTATAAGGAAATTTGTTGGACAGCCAGTGTGGCTCATAACCAAGTTTATGGCCTCACAAAATATTGTCTGTCATTGAAAGAACTTTGCCGTGACCATGTTCAACAAACGGTGGAACCGGACCAAAGTTGTAACGCGCTAGTTTTTCTCTCTGGCACATTTTTAGCATGAAAAAAAACACATGCTTTGAGAAACAATGAAGGCAAAAAACCAGAGCCTTACTCACTACAGAGTGATCCTGTCTGACGAAACCACTGGTTTTACTGCTGGTATTAATACAATTCCATGTTGTGATGCAAACTAAAAACTATAAGAACCTAAACCGTAAACATCAGAACAACTTTGTTTAATTTTGGAAAAGTTACAGTAAATAAATAAATGAATAAATGTTAACAATTGGACTAATACTGCCACCAAACATTTTTGCTTATGTTTCCAGGTTCTCCAGGTTCTCCAGGTTCCCTCAATGCCCCAAAGCGTGTGATTAGGTTCCTCAGATACTCTTGACTGACCATAGATACCGTACGAGTGTGAGTGTGAATTTTGTCTCTATAAACGGCCCTGCGTTCTGGTGAACGGTCCAGGGAGTAGCGCCCCCTCCCTCACCTGTTGACAGCTGGGATTGGCTGCCACTGGAGGCACCAAACTCCCCCAGACTCTTCAAAGGTTGCAGCAAATTTGTGGTAAATAATAAATGAATCAATAATAATGATAATTATAATAAATTAAAATAATTATTATTATTATAATACTTAAATTGCAATATAATATCATTACAATCTATAATGATCATTATTATAACAATTACAATGAACTTAAGTTCATCTTGAAAAGCAGTCTACAGTATGTAGCAGGTGCCTTCTTGTGGTTGTACATACACATGTACTGTAACTGTGTCTAGTACTGGCTGTCCTCTATGTAATATTACTTGAATAATGGCAACTTGAATACGTTTTGTAACACTGGTACAGGTAAAGGTAAAGGTTATCCACAGAAAGATCAATTTGATGGAAAGTTGAGCAACTCCATCGCTCTGCTCGGCACTTCCCTTACATTGCACCCCACTCTAGTAAACATATGTAGCCGTGTAGTAGCCCGTGTACCCTGTTGTGGTACTATTGGACTAGTCTGCGTCTGTTCATTTCAGAACTTTACGGAACAGAAAACAGGACAAAGAAGTTCTTCATTAAAACGCTGGTTCAAAACAAGCTTCAGTCCAAAAGCAGCCCTCGCTCCACTCACATGCTCTGGTACAGACCATTTACGTCTCAGTTTATTGTGGCACATACTCAAGCAGAAGCATGTGTCATGAAAATAAAATAAACCTGGTGGATATTGAATATAAATATTCATAGTACCCCACAAACCCCCAGAAGGCCTTATTATGTACTTATAATGAAAGGAGCCAAATCCAGGTGAACGCCAGAGCTGGACGTGAGCTGAGAAGAACTCCTAAGATCTTCTACCACCAAAACTGGACACATTTATTGAGGACATAAAACGTTTCTCTCATTCACATTCTGTTTCACAGAACAAATTTCCTGAAAATTATATTTATATTATTATAATAACACTTTCTGCTATTTTATGGGTTAAGTGAAAAAAAAAAAACTCCTTCAGATGGATTTTTTTTTAAAGAAAGATCACGGCCTGCGACGTCGGACTGGGCAAATTACAATAAACGTGCCTCTCAGGTAGCTCTGTTCAGAGTGGCAGCGTGGTCACAACCAATAAGCCGTCAGTGATTGGGCCTCTTTGGGTTGGATTTATTTTAATTCACTAATCCTGTAATGGTGGAGCCGTGCTTGTGGGGGCTCTTTATGTGGGGACTGACAGCAGAAAGCCACGGCCGGCCTGTCTCCTCGCTTTTAACAGAAAAGTCACAGAGCCACTAAACGGCATTTGACTCTTTAAGCTCCTGGAGGACGAAGGTTAGGGGAGTGATGGAGGGGGGGGGGGGGGGGGGGGGGGGGGGGGGGGGGGGGGGGGCAGGAGAGAGGAAGGACACAGGGCTGGTGCCTGGTGTGATGCTGGCAGTGGTGGTGGTGTGGAGGCCCAGAGAAGGGAAGAGTGATGTGGTACACAGGATCCTAACAGACAGAAACATTCACCCAAAAACTGCACGGTGTGGACTAATGGGGAAATTATTTATGAACTATTTGCAGTGCACCTGAAAATACCTCCAGTGAAATGATGTTTGGCAACCCCAACTGCTTTGAAGTCAATGGAGTGGCAATAAAAATTAGGCCTTCATTAGAGAGCCGGGCTTTTCAAACTGAATTGCCCCAGTCTCGGGGGGTCAGGGGCAGTTAGGCAGCGCTCTGCTTCCTTTAGCTCTGGCAGCCACACACACATGGAAACAATTTGCCCGATTCTTTTGCTGTTTTTATGATTTTCCCCTTTAATTTCTTTCTCACCAGACCATTCTTCTTTTATGTTGCATTTAGGAAATTAACACTAACCGTCAAATTAGTGTAAATAAATAACAATAATAAAAAAGAAAAGGTAGAGTTTAAGAATGTTGAAACCGAGGAGTAGCCCGAGGGCCAGTGTTCTGCCGGCAACAAAGAAATCCTTCATAAGTGTTTAGACACGTCACCGTACAGGCCGGCTTTATTTTATCAAGTGTATATAATTTTTCAATTCTAATAAAGGTAAGACATTCATACCCCCTCTGTGCAGCAAAACAAAAGTTGGGAAATAAAAAAAAATGACCTGAAGGGTTTTTTGGGGGTCATTTACAAATGGCTTCACGCTTTGGTCAAGCACAAATGTCATTCACAAAAGGAGCGGTGCGGCCGACTGAGGCCAAACTGTATAATCTTCAGAAAACCAGATGCACCAAAGTCCAGGGGATTGTAATCTTCACAGATGTAAGCTAATGACTTAATCACTTACATTCGTAAATCTTATTATTGTAAAAAGAAATTGCCAGGGTGATTAAATTACTGATATTTATCTCCTAAAAGCTCTGATTAGGGGCCGATGCTAATCTGTCATTCTGAAGGGCCGATATTAAAGGCATCAATCTAACAACACAATAAACACTTAATATGAAAGAGACGTTTTGTGCAGCGGGGGACCAGATGGCCCCGCTTTGGTCTGGAATGTGCAATATTCTGGCCTGCATGGCTACACTGCTAATGATGGGAACCACAAACTGTTGACTTATTTAATTGAGTTGTTTTGCCCTATTAACCTGTTGTCTGACACAGAGGAGACTTGAGTTTATGACCAGAGGTTCTGGTTCTACACCAAAGTTAAAAAAAAAAAAATCCTACTTTTTTATTTGCATTGCTGATATTCTTGACATTGTTTTGTTTTATCACAGCATATTCCTTGTGTGTCCAAATTATGACCTGTGGCACTATCATGGACCTGACGACAGTGCCGCAGGCCATTGAGACTTTTTAAACCATTTTCAAAATATATTTTTGTAATAAATTTGCCTTACTGCATCTGTAAAACAACATTAAAGCTAGGAAATGAATCAGATTTCTGTAATGATCCTTCAGACCCTTACAGCTAACATGCAGCTATGTTTGAAATATAGTCATATTCAGGTTCGTTTCATTGCTGTTTAGTATCAATGACACCTTGTTTATTGACCAGATGAAACTGATCTTGTTTATCGTTAGATCATTATGCAGTTTGTGAGCGGTGTCAGAAAAGAACGCTGGTTGGGCTCAGCTGATGTGAAAGAATCTGTCAAAACCACGTCATTTCAAACTTCAATATCTCACAAGCTGTCAAATCAATATTAATTTAATTTGCATTGCATTTGAAAGACACTTTATAATAGTCACAAGAGGATGAGTTGTCCTTATTACTAAAACCTTATCAAATCAGTGTTTTACCATGATAAAACGTTGCATATTCCATATGATAGTATTTACCATCACCTGAGCTTCAGCACAGTATTTTTAAAACACAATACATTTTTACCCTCACCCTGAAGTTTGACATATTTCCTACACTCTTAAAAAAACAAAAAACAAAACAAAAAAAAAAAAACACTTTGAAAACCCCCAAAAACGTCATACTGCGTGAAGTGAATCTTGCACTAATGCTGCAGAAGTGGCCATAAATTATGCATCATGGAATATGTATATGCATTGACTTTAATAAGAGCTTTTTCCTACAGGGCTGTGTTTGTACCTGCCGCTGTACGATTCTCTGAACACAAGGCACGGCCTCTTCTCTGCTGAATTCTAAGCGTAAGTGAAACAAAAAGAGCATAATTAAACCAATAACACGTGAAATTCTCTTTGCAGTTGCTGTTGGCAGCGTTGCAGGAAGTTGCGGGAACCGTCGAGGAGTGTTAGCGTAAATAAGTAAACTCTGCTTTGTTAGACTGTGATACCTCATCAAGTCAGCGCTGACAGTTCTCCCGCTCAGTCTTTTTTTTTTTTCACTCTTACCTGTATTTTCCTCTGTCTCTGACGGGACGCTCTATTGAGTGTTGGTGCTGAATACTTAATGACAGAGAAAAACAACAATACAACACATTTAGCAGAGCAACAACAACCCCCCGTGCCCCATGATGCAAACTGAGACATATTTACAAACAAATGCTACTTCGTTTTTATTCCTCCAGCCTCCACCTGTTCGGCCCTCCGACCTGACCCAGGAATGACGCTCATTGTGTTGTGCATGTCATTTGTCCGTTTTTCTTTCCTGTTCTGGAGCTAGTTGGCCTCCAGTGATTTGTCTATGAATGCTAACGCCTCTTACCTTGCCCTGGGCAAGAAAGAAAGAGAACGTACCTGGTGTTTGGCCATTCCGCTGCCGTGGTCCCTCTGGAAACCTCAGACAATAACATGCATAGACCTCCACAAACATACACACACACACACACACACACACACACACAAAAGCACTCACTGACTGTCAGATGGAGGTGTGGGGGGTGGGGGGTCTCACAGGCACTGGTTGTCAAAACTGAGTAAATGCCTGTCCTCTCAGTGTGTGTGTCGGCCATGTGGTGTCCTTCTCTCACTAAGACAACAGCCTAAATTGGCTGTTGACATAAGAAAACAGAAAACTCACTCCTCCAGCGTGGACCCCCAGACCCCCTCCCTCACACCCTCAGATACTCTGTACAATCAACATTCCGTTGGCTGGTCAATCAGCAGCCTGAACTGTGAAAACCACAAAGAAGATGTCATCAAACCAAAACTCTTAGGTATTCACACTGAAAGATGGTTGCTAAACAGAGGGGGCAGGCCCCTATTAAGATGACATCAGGGACAACCTCTTAACAGCTGCATGGGAGTGCCGCCTGTTATGCAGGACAGAAAATGTAGGGCGATACAAGGGGGACAGTGATAGACTAACAGCAACAAGGCCGGGGAGTCATCACCAGTCTAAGCATGTGCTGAGTGAGAGTCGGCTCTTTTTAACTCGCCGGTCTTCAGAGACCTGGTGGTCGGTGGCGAGGGTCGCAAGAGTACCAGAGGAGACACGGCGCTTCAAAAAGCTCTTCATCCTTTATCCGGCAACTGCGCGTTACGTGGAATGTGCTGCGCTGAGACTCACTTAGCGTTGGTGGGAGCTGCTCTGTGATTGAGGTAACAGCTGGGGATATGACATCAGCCGCAGTGTTGGCCATGTTTTCACTCACTGGAGCAATTCTGCTCTTTAAAAGGTTCCATCAGTACCACGCTGACGACTTGTAGAGAGTCGCTTTTCATCTCTTTGGCTCTGCTCTCCACCAGCTGGTCAAAGTCCGCCTTGATAAGACGGACGGAGACGCCAAGAGAGCTGTTCTAATAAGAGGGCTCATTGTCCTGGTGCACTTAGAAGTGCGAGAGTGAGACGTGAGCACTGGCATACATAAAAAAAAAAATAAAAAAAACAGCACGCGGCCGAATGTGCATGAACACACACACACACACACACACACACACAGAGAGAGAGAGACCATATATTATTAAACAGAACATCAGGAAAACCAGTTTTTCCATCTATGTCCGCTCTTTATTCTGTAACCAAAACCAAATGGCACATTTCTCTCTCGCCTCCAACTGAGGTGACATTTACGCAGAAGATGCCGTGAAAACATTTCCCAAACTTTGGTTTGACCTCTGCACAGGTACTTGTGAATGAATTTTCATCCGGCTGACCCGCATTGCGCTTTGGCGCCAGCCTCCAGTTACAGTTTCCAACTGGGGCCTCTTAGACGTACTAATCTTAACCTCTTCGGAGCGCACGCTGTGAATTACCACTCGAATATTTCGAGCAAAGAAAGATCCCTCTCTGCTCCCTCCACTGTCCAAGTATCTTTCCACTGTGACACCAAGGGACCAATTGAGACAGAAATCTATTTGCGCTGCTCTGTGGCGAGTACGAGTCTATGCTGAGCACGAAGCGCACACACATCGCCTGCAGTCAGTAAATCACCAGGGTGAGAGAAAAGAATGGTAAAAAGACACAGTTATGAAGCGGCTACAAAGCATCTCATCACATTAGTGTGTCCTTACTGGGCCTCACGCCTCTGAGCTGTTTCAACAGGGCCAGACACACAGTGAGGCTGGGGTATTCTGATGAAATGCAGTGACATAGTGTTCTGATGACGGGGGTAAATAGAAGAGCAAGTATTTACCTTAGAAAGATACACATTTCACTGCATATACTGCAGCAAACCAAGGATTTGCATCTAACAAACCGGGCAGTGAAACGCCAACATTAGTCCACTGTTGTGGTTGTGTTGTAAAACTACATCCAATGCTGCACAGCGATAGCCCTAGAAACATCTATCATCATTTACAGATTTATTATGCGACCCATCAAATTAATGTTAGCCTTCACTGACCCAGCAATGAGCACAAATGACCAAAACATCTTAAATCAGAGATCCATGAGAGGATATTGTCTAGACGTCACCTAAAACGAGCCCAAATGCAGCACTTGAAACATACTGATCTGTTAAGTTTATTCATCGAGTCCAAACTAAATAATCAGGCGAGTATCCAAGATTAACTCACAGGAACCAACATCACAGTCAGACCTACAACATGTGTACAGGTATGTACACCCAGGACACCAGGACAGGGACTCACAGGATACAGGTGAGTGTGATAAAACTGATTACCATGAAGACACACACACACACACACACCTGACACATTATTCCATTTTTATAACTGGACAAAATGAGAAGGCTCTTCTTTGCCAGATGTGGACCACATCGGTGGTAAAACCTAACAGTGCTGTGTGTACACGTCTGTACTGGGATCTGACCTGGTGACCTTTCCTTGCCATGTAGCACTGATGCTAACAACTGGGCCTCCATGTGACCTACATACAAAACAACAACAGTTTATTTTTGGACCTTTAAAATGAAACCACAAAAATACTGCAAATGTGTCAAAACATGATTGAAAACTGATCCAGTCTTGTTCAGTGTGACTGACGTTAACTGGATTTTTATATTCTATTAATTCATAATATTTGTAAATATGTGGGAAATAGAACTCAGAATCCACAGCTTACCTAAGTACCATTTTTAGATCTGTAATACAAGAATCAGACACATTTCTGAACCATCAGGAGGAGTTCCAACCACACAGCGACTATTTTTGTTTCTCTGCCCCGAGCACAGCGCCACCTGACCTAAGGTCTAACCTCTAAGGTTTTTTCTTCAGGTTTTTTTTTTACCTGTTAGGTGAGATAAAACGCTGCGCTCCTGGTCAGCCACTCATCACTCTGCTCTGCTGCTGCTGTCCAAGCTGACCAAATCTCTCAGTTTCTGCGATGATCCTGTGGCAGCTCTGGATCTACAGTCACACTGCCTGAAGGGTCAAGTGGCCATGAAGAGAGAGCTGGAGGCAGGGATGGCACACTGTGGCAAACCAGCCGTGGATCAGCAGAGTGCAACAGCACTGGAGGTCCCACAGACACTGCTGAATGACCACTGCTATAAACCAGATGGATTATGGTCAGAAAACTCCTTTATGAGTACAATAATATATATATATCTTCAGTTACTGGTATTTTGAAAAACAAAATAGAAATCTGAGCTAAAAGCCCATAGACATATTATCCAAAATGATAAGAATTAGCTCACAAGTAGTTACAAGTTAACTACCTCTGAGCTAAAGTGATTTCATTTTAAAAATGAAGTCACACAAACCACTGTTCCCCAGGGCCAGACGTTGCTGTTCCTGTTCTAGGTCCTGAGCCACACTTTTATTAGTTTTAAACGTGTACATTAAGTGCATTAACTTTCGAGGGATAATTTATAATTGACGTGATTTTCGTCCAGTCTAATGTTGTCTTGTCCAGAAAAGAAAGAAACATATCTAATCAACTGTTATCAACCTGTTGAGTGTTGAGAGCAGCCCTCAGCTTTAATAATCATTCTGGTTCATTAGCCAACCTTTAACCACCCGACAACAACTCGGCCTGTCTTTGTGCACTGGTTCAACTCCACCAGCAGCCTGTATGTCGTTATAATCCCTGATTAATGATTGGCCAAAGCGCTCTGACAGCGTGTTACAGCCACGGCTGTAATTGAATCCCAGCTTTAACAAGGCTTTGAACCGAGGGAAGAGATATGTCATTTGGTCGGTCCAGCGAAGTGGGCGCATCTAGTAGAATTAATGAATGTGATTCACACACATTTCTAAATTATAATTCATGTGTATTTGGGAGAGGGGGGGGGGTGATGTTAAAACACAGGGAAACAGAATGAGGTGATTTCTGATCTGCCTTCTTCTCAGTGGTGTTTTTCAATTTGCTCCATTTTCAGCTTTTTTTACAAGACCGATGTCTGTGCAGCTACTAGTTCTTAAAACTGCATGGGACACAAAGTTAGTGGACACTTCAGACTAAATCCTGCAGAAGACAACTTGTTTACAGGTATGTACTGTTGATCCACTCTGGGAAAAAGTTAACTTAAAACTTAAAGATGAAAATCTTAATTTGAGGGTTAAGAACTTAAGGATATATAAACAAGTAGGACTAAAAAAAATTAACCAATAAAACTGTAACACTATTGGTTATAATAATGAACATTAATAGATAGAGGATCAGAGACTTATGCATGTTTTGATTTTAGAGCCATCTGCGGGTGTAGAATTATGTTGGTCAGTGAAAAGGTCAAATAAAGGGCACGCATTTACTCAAAAAAGCACTTTAATTATTTCTGTTTTTCTTGGTTTGGTTTGATATGTTTTCTTAGAAGTGTTTCATTGCTGTTATTATATATGAAGCTCATCTCAGCCCAGTTAAGCTTTTCCCATTCTCGGCCTCACTAAACCACATCTTCTCCAGACAAATAGTTATTTAGTTATGCCCTTATCACTGTTTGTAATTTATTTGTGGGAAATTCTGCAAAGATATTTGCAGAGCACAGCAGTAATTTGCAAATTTGCTAAAGTTGGAATGGAGTGAGAGGAAAAAGTTTTCTTCACTCACTGTGGCCAACACTGGGACAAGAAGAAGGAGGAAGAAACTGGCATCAAAGGCCAAGATAAAATCACAGTCCGGTAATCAGGACATTTATATCAGACAAATAGCTCGGCGTGAGCAAATGAAAGGCTTTAAATGACGAATTGGACCAAATGACACAGAGAGAGAAGAAAAACAATCAAATATTAAAAGAGGGCACAGCACATTCCCCTCTAACATCAAGGCTGCGCAGAGACTAATCACACCGCCGAAATGTTCATCGTTGCTTCCATTTAGTGTGAGAGTCATAAAAGACGTGTCAGGCCTGGGAGAAGGATTCCAGCCTGGCCTCTCATTACCCACAGGGGACGGAGAGACGTTTGGGCCTAATAAGGACAGGACTTAGGCAAATCAGATCGTTACTATAAAGTGGCTGCTCATAATGAGGCACTTTTGCTCTTGTTTGTTTTCTTATTTTAGAGCATATTTGCCCTATACTGCCCTTAAAATAAAAAGAAATTCAGATTGGGGTTTGTCTTTCTTTTTTCTTTTAATTCTTTGGGGCAAACAACAGCCTTGATGTTCAGTCCAAGAGCAGTGAATCAATGTGGGGTCTGAATATTTAACAGGGTCTCCTTTGTGAAATTATTAATATTTCCGTGAAAGGTCTGCCTACGGAGGTAATAACCTACAAAGAAGTTGGCAGGACCCAGATGCAGGATGTGATAGACAGCAGTCAGGTGTTCATTCATCAAGTCCAAACGTATATTATCAACAAGGTAACCCAAACGTACTCACAGAAACCAGAAACAGGCAACCATCTGACAAACAGGAGCGCAGGAGCAAGGAACGTCGAACAGGAACAACAACATCCGCTGAACATCCAACAAGCCGTGAACAAAGAGTGAGTGAAGGAGGAGGTTTTACAGGGTCACAGGTGAGAACAGTGAGACAAATGAACAGGGAACCACAGGACACAGGTGAGCTGATGAAACTAATCAACCACAGACAGATATAGACAGACCTGAGATAAGGTTTTTGGATTATAGATTTTTAGACATTTGTAGAAAAGTGACCAGTTGGTCATGGTTTCAAATTTCTACCTTATATTACTACATTTTTAAAGAAAATAAATAATAATTTAAAATATTAATTATCCATATTCATATACATATTTAAATACAGAGGGCGATAAAGAAAGTAGCACAGACTGCTAACACTGCTAACACTTAGACGCAGACAAAGACCAATGCTAAACACAACAGAATTATTTGGACAAGGATAAGAGTGACATTGATCCGTGTCCCTCTGTGCTGCTCTTTCATTTTCCTCAGTCTCTGTCCCCAGTCCCTCTTCTCACTAATTGCATGTCGGACATCGACGACTACATCGGGGGGTTTGACCCGTGATGTGTCACAGATTAACAGCCCCACTATGCTTTGTTGTTGCTTTATTTGCATGAGAATTACTCAGTGGCAGAGAGTGTGTGTGGGTGTGTGTTAATTATTTATTATTTCACAAATATAGGTAAGCAGGAAGAGGGAGTGAGCGAGAAGAAGAGAGAGAAGAAAATGGGACACTGTATTAATTAAAAGTCATTAAAGCACTGACTGGTCTTTGCTTTGACGTGTTTGTTAAATTAACGAGGAAACAGGCAGGTGAGTGTGTTTGTGTAGAAACACACCTTTAAATCAGTGGATCTTAATTTTTAGTTTTGTTTTCAGAAACATTTTTAAGCTACATAAGTTTTTTTTTTTCATTTTATCTGATTGATGACAAAGTAATCTGCCAGAGCACCAATTATCCTCTGATGTCTGACTTTATAAACTTTCTTTCATCTCAAACTTTTATGATAGCAAAAAATGAATTATGAATCCCTTCTCAAATTTCCTAAAAAGCAGTTAATAAATAAAACTAGAAAGAAAAAGACAGATTTATTTTCTATTTGAGGCCAGAAATCTGGCTTTCAAAATCAAAATCAAAACAGCTCTTCTCTCGTCTGCCTCTCCGTCCGACCCATTCCCACTGCCTTGTCCAGAGGAACAAAGGGAGCCGGCCACTTCTCTTGATAGACGCCAATGATCGGTAAGAGGTTTGAGGTTCGAGTGTTGAGGATGCTATTTGCCTAGAGAAAGCCTGAGGACGAGGCCCACTGCTCTGGCAATGGAATTGGGCTGTCAGCTGGCATCCAGCGATAATTGCTTCCCATGGCAGGACCCCGACGGCCGCGGAGAAGGGGAGCGCGGTGTGGAGAGTCAACGCGGGAATCTATTTTCACTGCAGCCCAGTCATTATTGTTTCGTGAAAGCCAGGATACTTGTTGCCAATCTGCGTGAGGGCCAGGCTCTGATTGACACCCATTGACCGGAGAGACCACGGGGGTGAGGAGAGGCAAGGAGAAGGGTTTGGAAGGCCTTGAGTTTCACCATGATTGTCACTCAAATGTATGAGGTTTGGGGAGAGAGGAGGGAAATTGAAAGGTGAGGGGAAGAACACGAGGTTAGGGGTAAAGAAATGGAAACCTAACCAAACCCTGACTGATAACAGTGTGAATGGCACTTTATTTCTCATGTTCCTTTAATGACCATTTCCTTTCATTATTCATCATTTTCAAATCCAGCTCTCCGCCTTGTAAACGATCATTTACACAAATCAATAAGTAGGAAGCCTGGAAACAAGCAGAACGGCCAATTTTAATGATGTTCTCGCCTCTATAATCAACAGGGGAATTTATTATTTCATTCACAACCTCTAGGAAAACTATTGATCAGTAACCGATAAGATTACCTCTTTAAATAGACACAAACGCCTGTCGGCTTTACCAGAAAGAAAACTCAACTGTGATTGTGATTGCAGCTTTCGCTCCGTAGCTCGACTCGCTGAGGAGAAAACAACCAAAAATCTGAAGGCCATTCAGTGAGGGGACTCAGATCTATTTGGTCTGAGCAGCCTGCGATCTTATCACTCACCTGTCCAAAGATAATTCTGCTCAGTGTCAAGCATGGAATTGGATTTAAGGACACTGAAGTGGCGCGGGTCCTTTGACTGTCAGCCGGTCCCAGCGCCCCTCTAATGTGTCACTTCACTGCTGGCTGAACACAGGAAATTCCTAACAGGGTAAAGCACAATCACAGGACATCTCTGGGCCCCTGCAAATCTCCGATGACACCATCTATTCCCCACATACCTACTTTGACCATGATCAACGAATATGTCTGCGCTGATGCAGCACGCTGCATAGGGAATAGGGATTTAGTGCAGATTCTAACCCCGTAACAGTGAGTCCTGCTCTGTGCCTGGCAGAGACATGAATTAAATACGTGGAGAAAGAAAAAGTGTCATTATATAATTAAACAAAAACAAAATGTATGGATATTTACTTGAACTTTTACCTCGTTTCAAAAAGAAGAGACAAAAATCTTTTTTTAATGTGGAAAAACTCTTAAGTTTTTAAAACTAATTAATGTTGTGTTATGCATTTTGGGTGACCCGAGTGCAATACTAACATAAGATATGCTTTCATCAGAATTAGAAAGTGTACAAACTTTTTTTGAAACGTGAATATTCAATGTTCTTAAACTGCAGTCCTGTGTAACTGGCCCTCGTTCAGTTCAGGGTGTAGTTTGATGTGGTTGTATCATCCTGGAAACGGCAGATACATTCACACAACCACAAAGTAATTGCTCTGGTGTCGGTGTTGTTTGGAGACTGCCGGGGGTCAAGGGTGAGAGATTACCCCCGAAATGCTTACCCTGAGAAGAAATGGCTGCCTGACTCTTCAGCCACTGCTTAGCCTTGAGGCATTCAAATTGACAGGTCTCATTATGTGTGAACTCCCAATATTCCCCTCCGGATTCCAGGGCCTGTCAGTCTCCACCTGCCTGTCCATCTTTTCTTACTGCTACTCTTCAGCTTCCACTCGCTGACATCCACCTTCTTCTTGCCAGTTTCAGACTTGGAGCGGACCTAGGGAGGAATGTGTGTGTGTGTGTGTGTGTGTGTACGTGATCAGTGTGCAGGTGAAGGCATTGGCAGGCTTCACTGAACGAGCCCATGCTTTCTGCTGACAATTTGACAGGGGTCTGCTTGTAAACAAACTGGAACAACTGCCGTGATCTAACCTATAGTATTGTACTGCAAATTAGAAGGAGAGTCACACGCTGTATACATGCAGGCATACAATAAATAAATGCCTATGAAGACAAGCGCGTGCGCGCACACACACACACACATAAAGGAAAGAGCACCTTTGCAGAATCTTAAGTACCTTATGCAAACTGTATGTTTGTTGGGGAGGTGCTGGCAGAGAGCACTGATGAGTGGCTCATTATGGCAACACCAGCACTACACACTGGGTATCGCATAATCAAAGCCTGGGGGTACGTATTAATTATCCTTTTGAATAGTGATGAAATTTTAAAAAGCCTCTCCTTAAGGCTCACATCACGGATAGATGAAACAAAGCGCAGCACAGCTTGTGCGCCCGGGCTCACATGTGTTTTTACATCTGTTCAGGATATTTCAATTTGATGCTCAACAAGCCGAGACCGAGATTAAAGGATAATAATGTGTCATCCTCCACACGAGCATCTCTTCCAGAGCGAGTAATAGCACATCAGCAGGCAGGCAGGCAGACGGTTGGTTTCATGCAGGAGAGCTAGCTAACAGCCATCACTAGCAAGGTCGATGCAGTCACACGCGTGACTCCTGTTTGTCTCCAGTCAAGGTTGCCGAGACACTCCTCACGCGTAGCGCCTGACTGCTAAAAGGCAGAATACAGTGAGAGGTGGGAGGAGTGCAGGGAGTTGTGTTGAGATTTGCTTGAAAGAAATATTTATGAGCCGATTTTTTTTTTTTTTTTTTTTTAGAGAGAAGTATTGTCTTTAATGAACATGTTTCAAGATTGTTTCGCCATCTATAATTCATGTGGCAGGGCGTTCGTCTGGGAAACGGTCTACGCTTCAGTTTTCCAACATGTGAATCCCCTCAACATGACGTTAAAGAGCATCCTGAACATCTGCTTTGGAGGAGAGGTGTGAAGAGGTGTGACTGCTTGACACTGCTCTGGCATACAGAGGGACTCTTGGGATATGGAGGCATCATAAAGGCGAGGCTATTTGTTGCTAAGCTGTACGAGGCGCCGGTGATTGGCACTCATTGACCGCAGAAACATAGGAATCGAGGTTTGGGAAGAACAGACAGGATGTCAGGGAGAGTCTCTGGAATGGGTGTTATCAGAAAAGTGGATTTTACATCTCGTCTCTTTTCAGGATGCTCTACGTCAGTGTTTCACAAAACTTTTCTGCAGCACCCACTCTATTCCTTGAAATGGATATTCTCACAAAAAAAAACTGAATATAATTACAAATCAGTGCATTTTACCCACTGTTGAACATTTAAAAACTATTAAAAAGTATGCCTACCGCCCGCCCCCTCCCTATAAAGGGGGCCATCCACCATTTTGGAAAACACTGTTATAGACAAACATGACAAAGATTTATTTTTCCTTAAATTAAGGTGGAAGCGTAGAGGATGGCTGTTGTTCAGTTGTAGTGCAGGTGTCTTACACCTGGAGCATCGTGGTTTATTTCCAGTTAAAACAATTTGTATTTAATGTTTGGAAATGTACAACGCAAATGAAATTCACTGAAATTATTATTTTTATTTACTGGGCTGCCTATATGTGTAAATATAATAATGTGTGGCCTAAGATGGCTGATGGTCACCATGATAGACTTCCATAATCAAATACATTTCATCCATCCATCCGTCCATCCATCCATCCGTCCATCCATCCATCCGTCCATCCATCCATCTGTCCATCCTCTGTGGACACAGAACAGCCAAAGCCCTGAATAATAAAATATGAAATCCAATATGAATAATTACATTTGTGTCACTCCTTGTAACTGCTAATCAATAAAGGGACCAGGGTGACATAACGTAGTACTATAGTCTATAGATAAGTCTACAGCAGAAAGGAGAGTAGCTTGCTTTGTACTTTTTTTTCTCTCCAACTCTTTGCCTTTTCCTCCGAGAGGAAGAATATGAAACTGTTATATCAAAAGTGGAGGAGCCATGACAACATGCATCACACCTGCTTTG